TTCCTGTCTGTGTTTCCAGTAAACGTTTGGCCACCATTGTAGTCTTCAAAGTAATCTCCATTGAGACTGTACTGCAGTTTGTACTTTCTAACCCACTGGTTTACATCTTGTCGACCTTGAGTTGCGATTCCTGTTATCTTGACAGCCTGTGGAAAAGCCACTTCAATCCACTGTCCTACGTTGTTATGTCTGGCCGACCAGGCTCCTCTCTTGTTTCCTTGACGCACAGTATTCAGTCTGGATCTATCTGCTCCATGATTCAAGTCCCAGATGGAAGAAGCCCTCATACGAGAATCTGGTATTGCTTTGCTTTCCATGCCAAGAGTTCGGCGACATTGAATCGGAGAAATTGTGATTCCTAAATTAAAATGCACGCATCAAAATTAAAAATATAATCTCATCAAGATTAGAAAGATCTGGGAAAATACCTGATTTGCAACCATACAACTCAACTCTCATCGATATATGATTATGCCATTCAATAGGATGAACACGAACAAAGCGAGCGTAGATTTCTTCACAAAGGGCGTTGGTCACTTTGGATGATTGATCTCGATTACCTTCTAATTCCTGTGGTACGAGTTTCCAAGCAGTTTTAAAAAGAAAAAATAAACATTAGCCTCTTATAGTTATATGTTTTGATTGCATGCTAATATTTTATTCAAAGAAAAATCGCATTTATTGATCTTACTTTTTTATATTTGTTCCAAAATATACCATCTCTGCTGTAAGAGATCGCGTATCTGGTAACCCATTGGTCGTAATCGAAACGTCCTTGGGTTGCAACTTGAGTCAATTTAAGTTCTGCACCAAAATCTACTTGAAGCCACTGGTTCTGGTTATTGATTTTAGCTGACCAAGCTCCGCGAGTTCGTCCTGCTTGCGGTACAAAGTCTAGTCGTGCGTTCTCTGCTCGATGATTATTGTCCCATTCAGACGAAGCACTTATATTTGAATCTGGTATAAGTCCAGACTTCATTCCCAACGCCGAAGTGCATTCATTCCGAAAATCATCTATTATTTAGGAATATAAATATATATTTCAAGAAAAAAATTATAGTACATGAGAAAAATTGCGCACAATGGAAGGTTGTAAAATGCAAATATGATGTAAATCTATGCAAAAAGTGTGAAAATTTGATGTAACTATTATGTAAGTGTCCAAAATCATGTAAATTTTTAATACCTACATGATATTTACATCATTTTTACATCAAATTTACAACCTTTAAAGGATGCGATTTTCTCCAGTAGAAACAGGACTACCAGGGGCGACAGAAATCTTTGGCCGGGGACACGGCAATAGTATATTTACATACACCAACAAARCGTCCTACGACGGAGAGATTATAGATTATAGAGAGCCAAGAAAGCGGTGATTTTTGTTTACCTAAGTTTTGATTTTTACCTGCATTCCCACAAGGCAAGTACTTCCCGCCCATTGCTACAGATAACGACATGATGCCAATCAAAATCCAAACGCGATTAGTGTTGGACCACGGCATTCTGTCAAAAATGAATAATAATGCAATGGTGAGCATAGAAACAGGGAACGGGGAGGAATTTTTTGATTGGAGGGTGGAGGGGGTATATAAGCTATTTTATCTACCAACCAAAAATCCTATAGTTACAGAGACAAATAAAATTCAAATGCAAAATAAACAAGGAAAACTATTAGAGCCCGGCACTATAGCCTGGGCATATTAACATATTCTCATATGCGCTTGTACTTTACCTATTGATATTTTTTCTGACTCATCTTTAATATTTTTTTTAAAATCACGGTTAACTGAAGTAATTTCGGAATTTGACACACTAAAAAAACGCGAATTTCATCATCGGAACGTTTTTTTTTACGGATTAGGTGCAAAGGTCTGGAAACTAGCTTATCTATTCAATATATCAACACTGCACTTCAGAGGAGCAACGGTTCTTGCTATGAAAAATGTTCATGACTCACGGTTTTATGTTTCTCATTTTCACCTCGCAATTAATTCTTTTAACTGTTTCACGGCTTACGAACTCAAGATTAAGAACCTTGTAATACTATCGTGTAATCTGGAGCACGCTTTGTATGAACGCACTTTTATTGATTGATTGGTTGAGCTTCCGGTTGTCCAAATGTGACCATTCCTGCACTTCAATACTTTACCCCGGGAAGGGAAGGAGGGGGGAAGGGGGTACTACTCTCGAAACCCTATCCCAGACCAATTTTTTGTTTTTATATACCCTACCCCAAACTAAAGGTACAAAGGTACATTATTTTAGCGCTGAAAGCGTGGCCTAGCAGATACGGTCACAGAAAAAAAACATTGTGACTATACCCTATCCTAGACAAAAAAGTACCCTATCCCAGACAAAACTACTACCTTAACCCAGACAAATGGGCTAAATATGATACCCTATCCCAGACTTGGAGCTCCAAAAAAGGGACACTATCCTGCGACACATACCCGTATAGCAAATATAGGGGAGTACCCCCTGGGTGCTTTACTTTTATATTAATAATACCTTATTAACCGAGCGCGAGGGRTGTACGGGAAGTTATGGTCCGAGTTTTTTTTTGTCGGAAAATGAAGGTTTATAACTTCCCGTACAGCTCGAGCAAGTGAGGTTAATAAGATATTTATYATATAGCATTTTCAGGGGGAAATTGTAAAATTAATAGAGAATAGGACATAAAAATACGTCATTACTCGTACTTTTCTTGTTATTCAAAATAGAAGGGAAAAAGAAAAGCCTTCGAAACTAAGTGTAAAAAGCAAATTAGTTTGACTCTGTTTTATACAGCAAAACACCAAAAGAGAGAAAGCAAGTGAACTATAAGTTACATGAGKCTTTGGTATGTATAGGTCCATAAATTACCGAAAAGCCTTTATTTTGCTATTTTTCTGGTGAAATATGAAGTCAATTCCATTAAACGTTCTCGAATTGAAAATTATAAAACTTCATGTAAAATGCTAGATGTTGTAGTGAAAACTATGAAGTTTATTGAAATAATGTGAAATGCGGCGTACGAAWTAGGTCTTGAAATGCAGACACTCTCAACCTGTGAAATACAAATTCAGCAAAGCGATAAAAGTCTGCAAGATGGTACCTGACTTTAAGGACTAAGGGCTTTCTTCTCAGTCACAGAGCTTCCACGTAATGCTACAATATCCTTCTGCCCTCGTCGCGTCTCTACACTGAATAAAGGTTCTTTGCTACGGGTTTTTAAAGGCTTTTGGTGAGCTATGCACAGAATGACATAGATATCCAAATCTGCTTGCCTTCGTTTGATCAGATCTTCTTACTTGCTGACCCCGAAATAAATTACATAGACTATAAGTCTGATTATTATTGACTTTTATGTAATATATATAGTGGTTCAGATCACAAGTTCTTGGAAATTTGACAAAATAAAGAGAAAAAACGTGACTTATGCGTTGACACCGGAGGTAAAAAAGACTAATTAAGCCTTCTGCTTGCATCTAAAAATATGCCTCATCAAAAGTTATACTACATTTAATTATATGATACACTGAATGCTTCATGGTCGCTTGAAGATATGAATTTTTTTCATCTCGTGTTGAAAATCTCGCTAAGTTCACTCGTTACAAATCTAGTTTGGAATACAACTCCTCAGACTCGTCATAGATATCCAATGTGCTTGTCTGTGTTGAAACATATCATTTTCTCATGTGTTGACCCAGCAGTACACCCTGTAATACAAGTAAGTCGTATTCTGCTTGCAACTTATCTGATCAAATGCTTTAGGCGATTGAATTTCAAGTAAAAAAAAGTAAAATATTCTGCTTGTAACCTATCTGACGTAGTCGATTTGAGGAACTGGGATTTTTCACGTATTTACTGCGCTGCAAGTAAAAAAACTAACTCTGATTTTAAGACAACGACTGCTTATGCAATTGCTTACCCTTGAAGACTGAGCAGATGATTTTTGTATAGACCCTAAACTCACCTTTAATTTATACTTAGACAAAAAAAAAAAAAAAAAATCAAAAAGATTTCAAAGTTCTACTTTATGCTCGTTAAAATGAAAATTACTTGAATGTTTGGCTGAAGCTTATATATGCCAGACATAATAATGATTTGCAAGGTGTTCTTGCGTCAAAAGGTACTTG